AGCCTAGCTTGATTTGAAACCTGAGACAACTCCTGTGACACCGCATTTCTCAATGCCATTGGCTCCAGGTTATTTGTTATACTTCTTCCTAGGATGCAAAACATTTTGAGCGCGTATTGAAGCCCTTATATTTAGTAGCGATGCCAGATTGTGCCTGACCCTTGTTTTGAGGCCACAGGGAGCATTTGGGTGGACCGAAGGAGAACACAAGGAGCCTCCTTGCTGCGCTGCAGGAGACGAGCCCGTGTGCGTGGTCCACAGCGCGGCCCACCAGGGACGCAGAGACGAGGCCAGCCCTTCCCCACGCACCTCAGATCTAGTGGGTCCGGGAGTTTAGGCAGCCTCTTCTCCTCCGCGGGAGGATGCGGCAGGGGCCGACGTGGGGAAACGCCGCAACGCTCCCGCCGAGAGCGGGTTTGGTCTGGATGAGTGCGTGCCGCAGGCTCAGAGCTGCAGCAGAGGAACAGACAAACTACCCCAGTCAGCACCAGCTGACTGCCTTATCGCGGCGTGGACCGTGACCTGTGGTGGCCTCCGACCCATCAGAAACCCCGCTGGAGGTACCCAGACCGGCGGCCGGGGCGTTTGCCGAGTGATTCATCAGGCAAACAGCCCTTGCGAGTGACGGCTCTTCCACCGCGGGAATGAGCCAAGCAGGGGTGTTTAAAGGACGTTGGTTTTAGGCGCGTGGCCCTTCGTGATGCTGCAAAGAGGTGGTGCTCGTTTTCCGTGTGCTTTTGTACTGCAGGCGGCATAAAAGAGGAGATGATACTTGTAATGCTGTCCTTTGGGTTTATTTAAAAGCTCTCAGTTAGTCTGTTAACACGCAAAAGGCAGAATTACAAAAAATGTGAGTTATACAGTACTACTAGATTCAAATTAAGTAGGCTGGAGGGTGAGAAAGCGTAGAAAATCAGGAACATGAGATGGTAAGCTTACTTTCCCACTGTTGGCCTAAATCTGCTTGCATGTCCTTTTCAGCCCTTTGAATTTTACAGTACACATTACAGCAGGCAGGAAAACACTTGCAAGCCAGTACTTACACGCGCTTAAGAGTTTTAGCACTTAATATGTGCCAGTTTGGCTGGGAAGCGCAGGTCTCACGTAGGAGCACGTTTCCTCTCTTTGTTAGCGCAGCTCATCGCGCTGCCGCCTTTAGAAAGGCAGGCGTTCCCCGGCCCGCGTCCTGCAAGTGTGTCGTGCCGTAGGAAAAATGTATTCCCTTCCTTTTCAAATGAAAGCCAAAGATTTTCATTAAAGCAAAAAAAACGAGGCGGGAGCCTCGCGTCGCAAGCTTGCGCTCCCTTTCGGTCTGCCGCCGGAGTTAGGCGCGCGCGGAGCGTTTCGTTCGGCGCAGGCGCAGCGGGGGCTCCCAGCGGGTCCGTGGGCAGCCCCCCGCTTCGCCGCGGGCCGTCCCGGGAACGCGCGGGGTGCGGGAGAGGGGTGTTTCTGCCGTGCAGATGCCGTCCCGGAGTCACAGTGCTCGTAGCCCGAGAGCTACCGGAAACCGGTGAGAGGGATTTCGAGAAGCCTTGTCGTTTACCTGTGTCCGTTACGGTCAGAAAGACTTAAATAGAGTAAAGTTAGGCAAACGCGGAGAGCTTTTAAATAATCCACTGGAGCTGGAAACGGGGCTTCTGGAGTGGGCTCAGGTGGGCAGGGAGGAAGCCGATGAGCTCGTCTCACTAACGACAGCTGGTCTGGGTGGCTGTCCAGCGCTTTCCACCGCAGCACTTGCCCACTTGACCCACGGTAGGATTTACCGTGCATCAGCGCAGTGCTCAGCGTCACCCCGCATCGGGTCGGAGCAGCGACGCTGTGGTCCTGGTCTTGTTCGGTTCGGGCAGCGATTAATTTGAAACGTTTACTGCAAGCTCCAGGTCCCCTTAGCGCAATCAGGAAGTGTGATTATAAAATCTGCGTCTTAGATGTTAGCAGTAAGAAGAGCAAGTAAGGCATTTTCAAAGAGGTGGTGGCTTTTTCAGCTCATCCTTTTCAGAGGAATTATCCCTACTGCAGCTTTCAGCAGTTACATGAATTGGCTCGTAATTTAGTAAAGCTGCTTGTGGTTTAATAAAATACAAAGTCTTTTGGACCCTGGCTTTGCACTATCTCAGGAAAAGAGGTGGAACTAATTCTTATATGTTGCATTGGGTGATTTCTAATTGTTCATGACTGTCCTGTGGGATTCATTATTTTACTTGCAGCCAACACTGGCTTCTAATTGGGGGATGTAAAATTAAGATGGAAGAGCAACAAATTGCGAGGGTAGCGCTGCTCAGGAGGGCATCTGCTGAGCTGAGAACAAAAAATTCTCTTGCTTGGAAAAATCACGGTAGGGAGAGGACAGCTTAAAGACAGCGGGATTTCAGCTGGCGCGCAGCTCGTTGCGCTCTGTAAGAGAGGACCGCTCCTGCCGTCTGGCTGCTCCAGCGTTTGATGCATCGCTTTTCAAAGCAGCTTGTGTTTTAGGTGACAAGAGAGGGCCGCAAAAGCAACACCTGGAGACCCGTGTTGGAAACGATGCCCGCGGCTGTCTCTGGCAATCTGGGTTTTCTCACTGTTACCGAAAGCAGATAATTACGTTCAGCGAGTCACGCGCACAGGTTCGCGGGCCCTCGCGTGCTGCCGTCCTTCCCCGGCTCCCAGCAGCTCCCCGTCATGCGAAGGACACACACATTTCCTAAGCCAGGAGGCTTGTTTCCATTGGCAGATGGAGAACCATTTTTTTCCAGGAGAACAAATTTGGGGTGGCTTCTCCCCTCTGGGCATTTGCGATCGCAGCTGCGGGACTCCAGGCGGCGAGGGTGTGATGCTCCGCACTTGCGGTGAGTTTGGGAACTACAGTTCAACTGATAGACGTCACGATAGCCTTAATCACTTACCAGCTGTTTTTGTCCCGCATTTCCCTTTTTTTTTTTATGGTCAAATATTTCTTTCTCCTGGGATGGTGGCCTGGGAAGCCAAGCAGTGGTGGTTACAGGAAGAGCAGCCAGATGTTGTGATGCCGAGCACAAGCAGAGGACGTGACATCTCCAGGGTCCAGCTACGGCGCTACTTTTGGAGCACGGTTACAAAGCCGAGAGCAGTGGTGTTTGCCTTCCCGGCTGTGCTGTCACAGCTGAAATATCTCGTCCGAGAAGACCTTCTTAAAGATGTCTATTTTCCTGCCAGGAAACGCCACGACTTTAGGAAATTTAACGGTGCTCTGAAAACAATTCCAAGTCCTCGCCGACATCCTCTTCTGTCAGGAGGCTTCTGGAGGACTTTCCTACTGTTGCTTAATAGAACGGGAGTGAATTCCTTAGCGCAAGCTGCTCCCTTTGCTTCCCCGAGCCGGGCAGGCTGCGGGCGCTCGAAACGCCCGGCCGCAGAGAACAGTAGAGAGCGGCACTTAAGGAACTTCACGTTTGTGCTTTAGGAGGGAAAATCAACAAAAGCGATGAATTTCACCGAGCTTTCCTACAGATCTAAGGAATGTGATTTGGAAAGAAATATTACAAAGTTTTTGCTTCGCTCTCCTACGGGCTGAAATGTCATTTCAGCCCCCTCTGCCCTCCGATGTCCCTGGCGCAGCGAGGCTGCTGCTCGGCCCGCTCTGCTGCACGGTTCGTTTCTTCCGTGGGAGGAAGCCCGCGGGAGGTTTTTTTTATCTTAAAGCCTTAGATTAAAATATATTACATGTATTTAGGCTTAACTGTCATATGCCAGTTTAGTGACTGCTGTGAACAACAGAATTGGGATTGTGTTACGCCAACAGACCAACCTTTTTGTATATTTTTTACAGGAAACAAAGATAATTCTTCAATATCCGTCTTCTCCTCCACTTACCATGCATTTCTCCCTATTAACAAACAAATCGAAGATGTCCAAATCTTGCAGGAAATACCTAAAAATTAATGAGACAGTATATAAGAAGAGTACTGAAAAATGGAGTAGACTGAAGCTCAGGCCATTTAGCGAAAATTGTATTTAAAGATATATTCAAGATTAAACATTTCTGTCAAAAACAGTCAGAAAACCTAAGGTCTTCTTTTGTTAATACTTTACAAACATAAGAAATTCTTTTCTACTTGGTTGAAAGGCAAATAAATACCCATTCATTTAAAAACTCCTTCCCAAGAATTAATTCCAAACCACAAGAGTTACTGCTAGCGTTTTTCTAGCATTGCTAGTGTTGTTTGTGAAAAACAGATTGAACGTGGCTGTATCAAAATTTCGGTCAGGTGCTCTCATTGCTAACGATAGGCTGACTGAGTCCAAGAGCTTAGTGGGGATCAGAAAAGATGAGGCATTTGTATGGGTGATGAGTACATCCACGGTTGCGTTAGGCAGAGGGGTAAATGCTGGTGCTTCAGCCAGGTCCTGACCGAAGGGGGAGACGGAGAAGCTTCCTCTGTGTCTGTGCGATGGCACCGTTGTCCGTTTGGGGAATTTTTATGCCTTTCCCAGAAACGTTCAGTTCTGGCTGCTGTCAGGGACAGGACACAGGTCTGGATGATTTTAGTGGGGCAAGTTGAATAACCTCAGTGTAGCTGCTGGAAAATTCCCGTCATACCTGAACTAGCGTCAGTGTGTCTTTCGTGCAAGACAGATGATAGCCCGGGCTTAAGGGCAGATGGAAACCGGCAGCTAAACACCAAGAATCGTCCTGCTGCTCTGCTTTGGGGCCGGGGACGTAACCGTACGCAGGCGCCCGGGAAAACCTCGACAGTTGCTCGGGTCTTGTTAGACGCTGAGCCCGTACAGTCCTCCTCCCTAAGCAATCCGATTGAGCTCGTGTAATCCTACCTTGTTGCAGGTGCTCCTATCCCCCTTGTTCCTAGGAGGCAAAAGGAAGAGGTCAGGGTAGGATTCAGGTGGTCACGGCGAGACTGTATTTCTGAGGAAGGAGCGGCGAGGCACCCCGATGAACCGCGAGACGATTTTTCGGGCGGCTTTGCTAACGTCCCGGGACGCGAGGGGGGAATAACCTGTTTGATTTTATTTTTTTTTTCCAGTTCTCTCAGGCCAGACACACCACAGCCCTTTGAAACGCTCTGTGTCCCTTACCCCACCCATGAATGTGCCAAACCAGCCTCTAGGACATGGATGGATGTCTCATGAGGACTTACGAGCTAGAGGACCCCAGTGCATCCCTTCCGATCATGCCCCCCTGTCTCCACAAAGCAGTGTAGCCTCTTCGGGAAGTGGTGGGAGTGAACATTTAGAAGATCAGCCTTCCGCTCGTAACACATTCCAGGAGGAAGGGAGTGGGATGAAAGGTGAGTGACTACGAGACGCCTCTCCCCTACCCCAACCCCAACGAAGGAGGCTTCGCCCCAGCTCCTCGCCTCCCGTGCACCAGCTGGGGCAAGACTTGGCCAGGCAGAGAGACGGGAACGGAAAAGCCGTTTCCCTCCCGGGTGATTTCTATCTTTGGTTTTCCCTTGAGAACCACGCTTAGATACCTGTGTGCCCTGGCCGTATGGAGCGCGATGAATGCTTTAACGCTGTGTGAACCTTGTTCGCTTTAGCGTTTGTTTCAGGCGAAGCAAACGGACTGCCAGCGTCCCGGCAGGTTCAGCGTAACAAGTTAGGTTTCCCTGTAAGCGACGCGTGCTCCTGAACCTGACGTGTGACGAGCGCGCGCCAGTAGCCTGTTTTACCCCAGTACGCTGCAAACTGCCAGTCTTCTGACAAGCTAGCTTTACTCCATAGTGCGTGGCTTTTAGCTGAGCTCTCTTTTTCTTTCTTTTTTTTATTACAGTGAAAAATAGCTTAGTGTCAGTTTAACGAGCCGTGTGTAATGTATCATTGTGGTGTTTGGTATGACAAGAAACCCACCAAGTATTTGAAGAAGTTTTGACTTGAGATACTTCTCGGAACTGAATTTACCCTGCGTACTTCGGTTGTTTTTTTCTCCATTACGCCTGTGTTTCTTAGAGACCTGTAGCGATAAGATAGCTTCTCCTGTTAGTAAATGAGGCAGAAAAGAAACCCCTAAAGAAAACCCATTCCTGCAGCCCATTTGCCAGTGAACATGTAATCAGGTAACTCAGCCGGGGCGTTTGGTCTCCAGCGTGCAGGGCTGCGAGCGGCAGCGAGTTCGTGTCTCCCACGGCGCTGGGTTTTGGGGTTCCTGATGCAGCAGCCGCCACGGCGTGCTGCGCGGGAGGGCCCGGCCCCATGAGAGCGCGCGGGGAACCTGGGCTGGTGTCCCCCGCCGACCCGCCGCAACGTCCCGTGGAGGTGGGCAGGCCGCGTTCGAGAGCCGCCGCTCGGGTTCGGCAGCCGAT